CTACTGAACCACAGCTATTTGTTATAATAGTGAAAGAGAAATGACATTATTGTTTTAAATTTCTGTAGCTATTTATTTTTTAATTATTGTTCATTCATTTTATAATTACACACTTTTTATGTTAATAAATATGGTTACAATGAAAATGTGTAATTCAGGGGGGAAATGGATTGAGCTGTTTTGTCAATATAAGCAGTGAAATTGCCACCCACCGCCAGTTACTCCAACAATAACATTAGCATGCTAACGCACATACTGGTGCTGCGAGGAAAAGTGTCCCCCGGGAAACAGTTCACTGGTGGCTGCGACGAAACTTTCAGAACATATTCAGGCTGTTTAAGCCGATATGTCTGGTATTTAGAAAATTCAAATCAAAAAATAAAAACCGGTATTCGGTACGAACCATATCGCCCAGCACTAACACACACCTACCTGGCTCCATGTTGAAATGGGCGGGACAGAAGCTGAAGGTGGTTCTTAAAGAGACAGAGGCCAATTTCAAGGTGTTTAGAAACAGATATGAGAAGTCAAGTTTATTTTCTATTTAAACATAAAAACAACATTTTAATAACAACTGAAGGTGACATAGTTACTTTATTATGGTTTAGTATTTAAATATACATCTGAGAAACACATAATATTGCCCCTTTAATTGTAATTATTATAAAGATATTTATACTAAACCATATTTTTTATTGTTTAGTACCATTACTAAACAAAAATCTTGTATTTTTGTCAAGCCAACAAAAATAGGTAAATTATAGACTTTCTGTTAGAATACCAGTGCTTTTAGTTTGAAAGTAGACCTTACTAAAGAAATGTTTTTCTAAATATGGAAAATGCGTCACTGCCCTGAGTTTAAAACTCAAAATGATGAAATCTTTCCCCACTTCCTGTGCAGCTAACATACGAGCCGTAAAGAGGGAGCAGTTCCGTCAGCAGCTGAAGGAGAAACCCGGAGACGACATCGAGTCTACGTCCTACTTTGACCTGCGCGTCCCCATGGCGCCAGCTCAGCGCACTCGCAAGAGCTTCAGATTCCACGATCCGGGTCGCTTTGAGAAGATCGCTCAAAGAGTTCGAACCAAGGTTGGAGAAAACTCCTAAAACTGAACTGTCCAGTCTTCTGGTTGTGGGAAATATTTGAATCAGGTGTTCTTGTCTAACGGGTCTTCCCTCGATCAGGCCCAGTTGGAAAGGCTGCAGAATGAAATCGCCCAGGCTGCGAGGAAAACAGGAATCCAGGCTTCTACCAAACTGGCGCTGATTGCTCCTAAAAAGGAGATAGACGAGGGGGATGTGCCCCACATCGAGTGGTGGGACTCCTTCATCCTGCCCTTTAATATAGCAGTGTAAGAAATTACATTTCTAAAAACACAAATCTTGAAACCTTTTTGACACGAATAATGCACTTATTGAAATAAACTGATCGTTTCTTCTTCCTTCTGTGTTTTAAAGAAATCCAGACTCAAAATTCGAAGAGTTTGAATTGTTTGGCGTAACCAACCTAGTGGAGCATCCGGCCCAAATGAGCCCACCAGGTGAGTTCAGGAAGGGGACAAAAATGTCTCTGGAGGTTTAACGCTGCTGTTTCACTAAGATCTGTACAAGATTGTAGAAATACAGAGAGAGATGGCTCACTGAGAGCTGAGAATTTCAATAAATACTCATTAAATTCATAATCATGTACAGAAACGGCAGCTGCTGCTATCGTTGTTAAAAATCTCATCACCTGTCTAATAAATTTGTACCTTTTTTATTTTTTGTTCATGCTGACCTAAAATTTTGTTATTCGTTCTTTATTTTCTCCATGTTTCTATCCCTTCCCATCAGCTATATGATGGCCACCTTCCTTTTCCTCCTCTTCTTCTTTAGGCTGTTCCCCCTTCATGGGTCAGCACAGCGAGCCGTCCTTCTAACTCACTCAGTTACCTCCATGTCCTCTCTTACCTGCATCCATGCATAATTAGGCCTGTCGCGATAGTCAATAAATCAATTAATCGCACGATAACTTTTTTTGAGGTCGGTTAAAAAAAAGGGGCCGATAAGTTTCATTTTCCTGCTTGTTTGTTTACTTCGTGTCTCTCCCTCTCTCTGCTCCGCT